GGTGTCGCTATAACAAATACGTGAAATCTTGTCATGAGGATATTTGCGTGGTAACACACGATTCCTGAAACTTTTTGAAGTGCAGATAACCACATCATGTAAGCATTGTTTTCTTAAATTTGACCCGGTTAAACTTTTAGGGTAAATCAGAAATTAACGGATTTGAAGATTTAGAAATATGCCACATTAGTAAATGTTCGCGGTAATCATGATCGACAGGATACTCTACTATGCTTTATCATACTATACCTGAATAAATAATTTGTTCTGAGAAGTTTGATTTTGCCAGTTTGCCCTTGCAAAATGACCCTGGCACGAGGAGTGATTCAGCGATTATCTCCCAAGAACACAGCCCTTTTAATTTGTGATATGCAAGAACAGTTCCGCAATATAATCAGCTTCTTTCCTTCAATATTAGAAGTGTCGAGGAGAATGCTTGAAGGTGCTACACTTCTGAATGTTCCAGTGCTAGCGACGGAACAATATCCCAGAGGTAAGGTGGACGCCGTATTGCTTCTTAGATGGTGCTAATGTTTTAATCAGAAGCAAAGTTACTTCTGCACCTAAGATTTGTTAGTGTTATTTAGTTTTAGGTCTTCATTTTTATTTGTTTAGTATTGTAATTTGTGTTGGCGTTCAATTCCTGGAAGTTAAGAGATGCATCCTTAAGACACAAGTAACGTTAATGAGGTAGTAATGGTAGGTGTTTCAGTTTGTGAAAAGCAGAATAGATTATTCAACATTTTACAATAATAGGTTTATCTTTAGACAATAAACAAGGTAATATCCCCTGTAGTCGTTAGTCCTTATCTACTTGCTGCGAGTATGACTGCATTTTCATAAGGACTTGTAGTTCTCGCGGATATTCTCTCCAGTATATCTCTTTTCAAGAAGGGGTCTTTCAAGTTCTGCTTACCGTTGCATCGTCAGCTAACCGCTTTGGGGTTCATGACAGATTAGAGAAGATACCCTTTTGCTTGCCATGCGACCCTTTAATTCGAAAATTTGCTGTTTTCCTTGATAGCATTCTGATGATGCACATGCGGAGACCATAAACTACTGCTGGTACAGTTAATACAGTTTCATGTAAACAACAGGAATTCAGCTAGAACACTCGAAAACCCATTAATAGATGGATAACTTCCCATGTAGGGAAGTATATCTTCCCTTCATGGATTCGATTATAGCATGAAAAGATTTCTAGATGTGTTCGTTCTTTCGTTGTTCGTGGATTAAGGCCCATTTTGGAAAATGAACCGTCAGATTTTTATTCCACTTTTCTAAATTTACTGCCTTAAACATAAGCGGGCTGGTGCTTCATTGCTCTTGTCTGAGTAACATCGTCAGGAACGTGTAGTTGTCAAAAAAACAATTTCGTATCCTAAACGTTGGGCGAGGTAAATTTCGCGTTCCGTGGTCACATCGTGACCGTGGATGCTAGTGATGAACTGCAGAACAACCTTTCGAAAATGGCACAGTGAACCATTTCTGGAAATGGCCTTAATGACTGTCTGCTAAATTTTTAGTGTTGCCGCTCTATCAACTGTTGCAGTCTATCAGCACATTTCCATTCCATTGTAAAAGCTTACCTTATGAGTATCACGCGTGCGGCTGAGCGTAAATACCGGGTCCAGTATTGTTTTCAGATGCAGGACTAATATACCTATATTGTGGTTGTAGTCTGTAAATGATTGTGTATGACTGCTATTAAACATTTTTATAACCAGGCAATAATAAATTGTTCTTAAGAAAAAAGTTGTGCAAAAATTATCCCGAATATTTCGAACAATATTACTCTATTCTTCTTGACTGGAGTCTTCATAGGTTCTGTAAAGTCCGTGGTATTGGGCCTTACTACGAATGATGTGCCTTATGATTTTTCAGCAAACGGAGAACTTTATTTTAAATTGCTAAAAGCGCTTGTTTTAGGTTTAGGACACACTGTTCCAGAGCTTAACTTGAAGAAATTTGATGTCCCAGTTTTTGAAAAGACATGCTTTTCCATGTTAAAAAACGATAATTTGCAGAAGCATATGAATGAACGACTATCCCACGTCAAAAACATCCTTATTTGTGGTATCGAGTCACACATTTGTGTTTATCAGTCAGTGTTGGACTTCCTGGAAAAAAATTATGAAGTCCATGTCGTGGTCGATGCCTCTTCTTCTAGGAGCCTTGGCGACAGGTAGTGAAACCGTCACATAACTATCGCCTTAGTTGTTTTTAGACTTTTTGCCTTCCGACGAATGGAGAAGCTGGGAGCCCTTCTTACGACAAGCGAATGCGCCTTGTTTGAATTGGTTAAAGATTCTACAAACCCAAAGTTCAAGGAAATTCAGAAACTCATTATCGACCTTGCTCCCAACAGCGGACTTTGTTAGAATTGGTAAAGTATTCACTGCTTGTGTGTGACTGTAGAACAGACATTTATGTTTCATGAAAGTAGAATTAACTTGTTGTTTCCGAAACAACAGTTGGCAGAGAATTTGTTAGCATATCACAAGAAAAATTGCGATGCAGTATTACAAGTAAAATAAAACAACATTAAAAACGCCAGACTCAGTCAGGGATTGCCGGTTTGTTGCTCAGTAAAATAATTATTTACAAACTCTTCTGAACCGATAGTTCACAGTAAGGAACATTTGTGGACGATGTCAAAATTGTTCATTTCCTATGGCTTTAAACGCTACACCAGTATCAAGCACAAATATAACATATACTAGTTTTAATCACTAACCATATTCTTTGAATGAATATTTAGTAACGCTGCCAGGTATTCTTTTGTTCAAAATTGTTCTCTTTTACAGCGTAGATAAGGAGTTATTGCATTTCATCTTCATACTTTAGCTGGTCCTTTCTTCCGGTAAATTAATGACCAGTGAACAATCCTACTTTTGATAGATATTCGCAAAACTTTTACCATAATTTTCGCTTTGAACTTTAGAAATAAATATGACTGCAAGCTACAGTAGAAAACAGTTTAAAACGCACTGTACCTTGTAATGAACTGTTTATGGCACGCCTATAACATGTCAATAGCAAAAGCTTATGAGAAATGGGAGGGGGCTTGCATGTTAGGTGAGGTTATTCTTATCAGTCATAGCAAAACCTAGCGTTTTCTGGTAAATACGAAGGCTGGTTCCACTGAATATACTCTCCTTCGAATAATTACAACAGTATACCGCACAGTACGAGCCAAAACTAATTCGCCTTTCAGTCCAGTGACAGGTGCATATTTTACCGCCTAGGTCTAAATATAAGTAAAGAATATAACTTCAACCTTCGAGACAATAAAAGGACTTTGTAACAGAGGTAGACGTGGCGAAAACCGGTGTAAACTGCAAATCAATTTCAGTCCGTTCTGCTTTCCACCGGCAACGATAATATAGTACTTACCATGACCACATAATGTGGACGATATATATTGTTCACTCTCTGTGATGTTTGACCATGAAAGTACGCCAGATAGCCCACAAAGGTGCGTTGTGTTTGACCGCCCTTTTCACACAAAAAGCATGATTTCCTGTTCACGAGAGAATGACAACTCTGCTACATACTAACTACATCCAATGCAACATAACGTCTTAAAAGTAACGAAATTTTATTTAATAATCTTTAATCATTATCTGCACAACGCCGCGGTTGAAAAAAGATGAATAATGTTTAAGGTGGCTGTTGCTTCGACGGCGTATCTTTTCCATCTGATGGATTATTGCCATCAGGTTGCGGATTCTGTTGAAACTGACGTCTAAAGTTTTCGATAAATTCGGGGTTCTGCTGCTGCAGTTGTGACGCCAATCTCTGACCACTAAAACAATATCCGAAAAATATCGCGTATATCGCAGAAAGGAATTAAAGAAACTAATTAAATAAACCTAATCGGTAAAATATGTACATTTTTTGCTAACAGCTGATGTGCTGTCTAGAAATCACTACCAATCATTATGCTGTTCTTGTGAAACAAGAATAAAGCATCATATTGCGAGGTAAAGAACGGCGTGTTGTAGTTTCCTTAGTCATTACTAGAGTCTACGAGGTCCATCGTGAACCCTGAAACGAAACAGTTTTTGCGAACATTAAATAAGGACGATATAAGAATAAATTTGAATATGAGGGCATTCAGACAAAGTCTGTTAGACGAAGAATTGTAGAAATACTGTTAGAACTAATTTGCGAAGAAGATCCAGATACTTCTGTTCATTATGTCCCATAATCTCAGACCGAAGGACGATATGAAATGGACTGAGATGCATACAACTGGTACTTTGACCAAATTTAGATAGGTGCGTGAAATTTTTGACAGTGACTCCCACACCTTAATGCGCGGACAAAACTACCATGTTGTAAGCCATAATTCGAAAGGCAAGTCAGAAAACTACAAAAGATTGAGGGAACTCGTCATCGTTGGTTAGCGAAGTCGCGGTTAGCAATAGAACAGTAGCACTATCGAAGCGCCATTGACGAAGAAAGGATTGAACTATTCGAGTATCGACAGGACGACTAGTGTAAGCTTTCTTGCCTGAGCATTCCGTGATCTTCCTTTGGGTGGCCGCCAAGGTGACGGCGTAAGATAAATATGTGCACTTGTATAAATTCCGAAACATGCATTTGGAAACTTAAAAATATGGCCAAACAAAATGGTACAGCGTATTCAGCGAAAATTGTGTTTCAGACGAAATAATAACGGTCCATGCCGAGATGCGACTTCCCACTCCTCATCTGAAAGGTCATCCACTTCCGGCAGCTTCTGAGTCCTAGTTTCACAAAACAGCATCTTAAAGATACAAAACTGGTAAAGATGCACTTCGGCAGTCCGCGATAGAGCGCCCAATAAGAACAACTATCGCATATGATTCAGAAAAGTCACACCTTAGTGATTCTATACAGGAACCAATTTAACGTATGGGTATGAGAAGAGAAGACAGAACTGCTGGCAACACTACCGAAAGCATTTGCAATTAAAAATTTACTACATGAAAGTTTTCCGATAGGCGAAAACGAATCATAGATCGAGGAAAACTCCTCTACAACCTAGCATGTCATGCACCAGAAATAGAGGCCACAGACCTAGAAATAATTTTCGAGCCTCACGGAAATGATAATTTTTTTGGAGTTCAACCAATAGTTATTTAGCGTTGAACGAACATAGTCGTTTAAAGGATTAACGACTAATGCCGCGTGAGATACACTTAACCGTCATGCGTAGCACAGATGCAGTGCTGAGGAGGAGGAGAAAACAAATCACTACAGTAACAGCCAGTAGATTTATAGATCTTCCCGTGTCAATGAATGACGACATGTTGTAAAAATGGAAGGGAAGCAAACTTACGCGTCGAGCAGTGAAGAGAGGGGCGCTCCGGCGGCCTGGGCGGGATTGTTCAGCATGTTGTTAATGCTTAAAGTAGTGTTTTAATCTATTTTACGTGACCAACAAAATCGGAAAATGGGGTTCCTTACGCGTTTTGCATTTCTGGATTACTCATCACTTGCGTGATCATGTTCATCAGCGCGGGATTGCTAAAGAGAGATGCGATGTTGATGCCGGCCAGCGGGTTAGGAAACGACTCTGCACCACCCGGTGCCGACGACTGCTGTTGCTGGCTTGCGTTGCTTCCCGCCGCACCGAGCTTTCCTTGAGCGATTTCCAAATTATTCCTGATGCCTTCGTTGTCCGGATCTAGTTCAAGTGCTCTGGTGTACGCATCGCACGCCTCCTGGAAACGGGCAAGGGCCGAATATGCCAAACTGAAGAAACAAATCAATAATACAAAGTCATTCTCAAATGTAATGCATCGATTGTTACCCCATACGACCGTACGCCTTGCTGTAACTGGGACTCAGAGCAACGGCTATTTTGCAGTCTTCTATCCCTTTTTCATGATTTCCGAGCTTGCTGTAGGCAGCGGCTCTTAAAATATATACAGTTAGGTCAAATACAAATAAGAAATTCCTTCAAAATAGATAACCATTCAAAAATATAGTAAATTCGAAAAACTATAATGCTGCTGTTTATGAGGTAACAACAAATAAAATAGTAAACACCTGAGGTAAATAAAGATCGACGCTCATACAAATAACGTAGCGGATTTTATGGCATTATGGCACTGATTCATTACTATTATATGTCTAGCAAATTATGGCGAATCTATGTACTTCGTAAATTGCCTGCGGACGAATCCTCACCCTTGCTACTGACAAACTGCACGAAAATATACAATTGGTTGGTTTCTTAAACACTGTCAGTAACGAACAAGGCATCTTTCTAACCAACAAAGCTATACCTGACTCATCTTTGCACTGTCCGTGTTAAAAAAAAAAACCACTGAAAGTTACTGCTAAACACCCCCTGTACATCTACGAGAGAGGAAGCGCTGTCGTTCGCCGGGAATGGAGGTTCTGGAGGAACTGAGCAGGTATAAACATACTTACACACACAAGTTTATACTCACAAATGTTTGCGGCACACATTAAGAGTACTGATTCTGAATAGCTCCCCTTTGACTTTCACAGCAGACATGGTTCCTGTATATACCTGTTCCAACACGGAAACGATCTCTTCAGGTATTCCATATCAAATAAATTTTCTACAGAATTGACGATGTAAAGTATCAAATGCACTGGTTAAGTCGAGGAGGCTTGTAATCCAAGACGATCGGAATTAGGAGCACAGTTCAGTGACACTACGCACAGTGAACATTGTTGGAACACAGTATCCCATCCGAAAGCCTGCTTGATTTAGACGAAGCCTTTCGATCAACTACCTGGGTCAGCTATTCCGAAATATAATGAAATAGGAAAGAACGGTAAAAATAGACGGTCTACCGTGGTTCAGTTACAGCAGCCGTCCTATCTGGCAGGTGGATTTTGAAGGCTAACAGTAATTGTCATTGTTTGTCATTGTTACAAGACACAAAACAAACATAATCGGTGTCAAGCGTGAACAGAAGGGCAGAGAAAAACCACCTAGAAATTCAGGGAAAAGATCACATGAACATTGATAAATGTATCTGGAAATTGAAAAGAAATTATTAAATTTTTTGCGTATTCCATGAGTGAATTCCCTATGTACTGATAATTATGAGCACTGAATTAGCCAAAACCTTAACTGATTGACTGACTGATTGTAATTCAGCTCCAAAGCATGCAGGAACAAGGAGTCTTTAAGCATAAAAAATTACTGTAACAGAGCTGCTAATGTTTAAAGTTTCTCGAAAAGGTTTGTCCTGATGAAACAAACCGGCCCTGTCCTATTTTCCTAGTTTACTGTAACGGGATCTTGCCATACTTTAAACCAATAAAACACAAGCTGCAAAGAAAACGGCACGTTGCCTCAACTTGAATACGAGTGCAACATGGCGTAGGAACAGGGCTACATGTCTGTGCCATGAAGACAAAGGGTATGAGGAATGGTATCGTTACAGATAAGAGCCATTTTAAGTGCAACTAAATGTGGCGCGTGATAAGGACGATATCGGTTCTGATGTGAAGCTGCTAGCTGATCAGGTATAAACAGACTTAGGAAAGTCATGTGAAAAAGAAAAGATCGACGATATGAACGAATATGAATATCACCAGTTTGAAAGTAGGTACTTTCGCAATACTTGTGTACAGTCTCGAAATAAAACTCTTCTCGACTGTTTCAAACAACGCGTTGTAAAAGGATTGCTGAAAGGGCAAATGTCAGCTGAAACGTAAATCAAAATATGCCGATGACCTGTTGAACCTGTCAGCAGATGTTAGAGACCATTGTTTTGACTGGTTTGCTAAAACGGTGTAAAACGTGAATGCTCAAAATCTTTTTCTTACACAAACAGGCATCTAGCTGCAAATGCATGCCATAACAGTACAACATTTGTAAACACCTCCTTGAAATAAGTCTTTTTAAACCAAAAATACGATCTACGCCTAAACAGCGAACTCTGACCTGCTCAACTGTTAAAACTTTGCCAACTTGGGAATCATAGGGTCTTTAAGACATAGTACGCAAGGCGGCTAAAGGCAAACGGATCAAATGACACGGCCGGTCGTAATTCTCGCATACTATGGTATAACCAAAGAATATTTCAGCTGGGTGCACCAAGGCACCGCAGAATAAATTACATGCTCAACGGAATTAGCGGTCAAAACGAAATATCTGTATCGTTAAACCAACTTCTGGTTTACTGTGAGATCGCCCATTCCACTCATAGATGAGGATGACAAGGAATACCCTACCAAGCAAGCCACGTTATACCTGTTACAGAAGTAAATTGGGTTGCGATACAGCTTGATGGCCGCCGTATACTTCTCGACCGCGGCAGTGAATTGACCTTCTTTCATCAAGTCGTTGCCTTCGGTCTTCAAACCTTCCGCTTTAGCTTTTTGTTCTTCGGTCGGTTCCAAGACCTGCTGAAACAGAGCATTAAAGGGGTTACAATAAGAAGACCATTCTATTATTGTTATCATTGCCTACCTGTGATTCGGTGAACTCCTTGCAGAACAGATCGTACAGGTCGACGATAGGCTTTGACTGAAGCTGCGTGTCTTGAATAGTGAAGGCAGACTGCAGACACTGAATAGCAACTAAAACCAGAACTCTTTAGCTACGGTCGAATATCGGTGAAATTTACCTTCGATGCTCTCAACATGGTCCGAGTCTAAAAGACCGGAATTTATCCTTTTCTGCAGAAACTGCAAAAAGGCTACTATGAAACGCTTTTCGCTATCCACAGGCAACATTTTCTGACCACCCTAGAAGGCCGAAATAATATTACCCAGAAGCGCGCAGAGGATTACGACGGATAACAGAACACGCGGCTGCTCGGTGGTGCAAAGCGCGAGACTTTTGGTTTTTTGGCAGTTAGAGTTATGTGTTACCTGGCATACTAAGGTGTACGAAAACACTCAGATACCTATGCCATAGCATATGAAAAGTATCAACTCCTGAAACAGCGTTCGCAATGAGCGTGAGGTAGGTGTAACGAACAAATCCACGCTAGAAGCATCTGGTGCTGCAGATACTCAAATATGGAGCAGTGTCTTCATTATATATCCACCCCACCCCACTGGAAGTGAAAATTAGTCTTGGAGGAATTATCCGTTATCTGAAACACTTAGGAATACAAATATACTTCAAAGTTCATAATGTACACACTTAATACACGCCATTATGTACGCTAATAACTAACATACGCACTAAGAAAACTACGGACATGGCCCTCCAATGTGGAGAAGCTACCTCTAACGAGAGCAAGCCTCCAGTTTCCATGGCCTGGCAATGCACAACTCGTTGACAACTAGTGACGAACCGTCTCAGACCAATCTTCTAGTGAGCAAAGATTCACAAAAGATCCTACATGCCTTTCATGGCCGGATGCGCCCTCAATCCGTAACCAGGGACAAATATGCGCAGTTCGCTCCGTATCTTGCATAGCCTTCGACTGTCGTACCCATGTTGCATGTGATATGATTACGCCCGAAACCACTGCGCCGTTTAAAGCCTTCTCTTATTATTTCTTGCATTAAGCTGCTTCTGTACAACTTCACTGCACTGTCAAGGGTGGATAACTTACGCGAATCAACTGTAACATAATAAGCTTCACTTAAGCAAATCAAGAAGACAGCAATTTAACAGACTTTGGCATAATTATGGAGCTTACAATACTTACTGTCAGGCATTCAGATTCATGCGATCTCAACAAACTCTAAGTCGTTGACCTTAACCACGT